TTGTATATATTTAATTTATACAGATACTCTATTTTCAAATACTTGCTTGAGTGGGATAGATGTTTTTAGCACAAGTGAGTCAAATGTGCAGGATTATTCAACTAGAGGAACACTACAAGGCTGAATAATTCTATGGATATTTATTATCTCTGGGCTAATTTTAACTGTTTAAGTAGAAAGTCTTTGCTTCATTTTGACTAAAATGAAGCACTTGACCTGCAGGCTTAGCTGCTTGTTCTAGCTGAGACCAGCTATAGAATGGGACTGTTGGATGCCCTGAGGTGGGTTTGGTTGTGTCGTGTTTGGGTTTTTTTTTCCAACAGCCTACCTGGATTTTGAGTAGAATGTGTATGTTACTTAGAGGACTACAGGATCAAAACTTCCTTCTCAGAAGGATGCCATTTTCAGGTAGTGGAATTGCACAGATGTGAAAAATTTTTACAAGTATCCCAAGAAGAACTCAAAATCAGACCACAAAATTATTGTTTACTCTTAAACTTGTCTGTAGGGGACTGTTCTTTCAGAAAGGATGTGATGAACCTTGACAACAGTGGCCATTCACTGTTCCTATCACACTTTCATCCAGGGAACACTTTGATATTAATGAAGAAAAGCAGATAGAGCACCTATCACAGGTGAAATGGAAATTGTCCAGACAGTGCTATGAACTGTGTGTGTGGATACTATTTGAATTCCTGCTTTTGCTGCTGTACTGAAGAAAGCTTTCCTCGGCAGCAGATTTCATTTGCTTGCTTCCTGAGTCACTTCCCTCTGTCTGGTGCTAGTACAGGATGTCTGGAGTTGCAGGAAAATTACAGGTTGCATTTCTGCTCCTCCTTGGACATTAGTGTCTTGGAGTAGTCTGTTGCAAATAGCATCTTTGACAAAAAGACAAAAACTGTAAAAAGTGTAGCTGAAGAGTAAACTTCACAGATGTTCCTGGAGCAACTGAAATTAAGACCCGTTTTGGACATTCACATCTTAAATGAACTTGGTGTAGGTATGGTTTAGGCCAGGTTTCCAAAGCATCATTACAGATTTCTTGTATCTCAATTCTCTGAATCGTTTCTAGACTGCTCCTAATTCTAGCAGTTAAGTGATACAGCACAACTTATTACTTTTTTAGAAGTATAATCTATATTTAGCTTTGCTCCCTAACTCAAACCTTCTTCTGAACCTAATGAATGATTTAAATCTGGAAGCTCTTTAGCTTTTACCACATGATTTTGGCTACAAATAAAAATGTCAGCAAAACATTTATTGTCACTTTGATTCTGCTTGTATATTTGATGTTGGTATATATTTGCATTTGTGTATTACATATACTCATTTTTGGATGGGCATGAAAATAAACTGAGCTTCATAATAGCATGTATATGAAAGCATGTGTGATAATGTTAAGAATTCAGACATGAAAACACTGCTTTGGATGGTCATAATCTGTGACAAGGCCAAATACACAGTCCCAATTTGCTCAGTACTTGCTGCATTCTACAGGAGATGGTTCCTTCCCTCTACATCTATTTCCAAGGGCAGACTTTTCTGAAATTCAAACCCTCATTATAATATACAATCAAAATCAGTAGTCCTTAAAATGTAAGGACTTCTGGGAAATACTTGACTGACATCTTTGCAAGAGAAAGATGTAGGATCTTGTCCACGCTTTTTTCTTTAAGATCTTCTGCGCATGCAAGGCAGAGCAGCCTGTTACTCAGAGGGCTAAAAATCCCTTTGTGTGCCCTGGCCTAATCCACCCTTCCCCTGGTTCATCCGTGCTTTTGCTGTTTGGTTACTGTCTCTTTAGGTGTGCTAGCTTTGGTAGTATTTCAAATAGTTGTTGTTCTATTTCTTGGATATTTAAAACATCACTGTGGGATGAAAGACAATCTTCCCTAGTCTGCAGGCTGTTGGGTAAGTCATTGTCTTCTGAACAATAGAGCAAACATTTGAACATCACAATGGTCCTTCCCCCCCAGATACAGAACATTGCGTTGCCTGTGGTGCGTCAGCGAGCCTGGCGCTGCACCCGAGGGTTTTTTTCAGGCCCACGGCCAATGCTTTCTAAATGCTGCAGTCTGAATAAGCTTTTTAGGGTTCCTGCTCTGCAGGAAAAACAAACCAGCCTCCCTCTGAAGTCATGGGACATGGGCTGAGTAAAGTTGAAGAAGCAATTCCCAAATCCCTCTTTGCAACATGAAGAGCTGTGCACAGGATGTGGAAAGGGAAGAGGGTTTTTTGGGGAAGAACTGCGGAGCCTGCATCTATGTGGCATTACTGAGTGAGACTCTTGGATCCGACTTCTGGGAAAGATCTTCTATTGTCTGAAGCTATTGTCTGCTGGAGCCAGCCCTGAAGGCGTTACTCTGAGCAGGCTCTGCCCTCGTGTGGCTGCGAAGCTCTTGGAAGGGAAGCAGTGGAGCCAGCTGAGCACCCATCCAGCTGAGAGAAGTGCTTGCTAGCAGTGAACTAGCCAGTGTGTGTCTTGGCCGGTACCGGAGGTGTTTCCTGCTGTAAGGGGCTGTCCATAAGCAAATACTTTCCTTTAGTACTCATTGACATGAAACTTAAACTGGAGAGGAGGTGGAATAAATAGTAAAAGCATCGTCAGCAAAATCTCATTTTGTTGACCAGTTCTTGCTAGGTCACTTACACAAATACAGGAGCACTTCAGAGAGCCTTTTCTTCGTTGAATAATAAAATACTTAAAATAACCGAGAAGGGGCTTGGATATGTTCTCTAGTTCCTTTTTCTTCCCAAGGCATATTCTGAAAACTCTAGCATATGTCTAAAGGGGAGTATCCATTTCATCACTGTTTGCTGCAGTGAGACCCCACCCAGGCTCCTGGAAGGTATGAGGTTTGTTCACATTGCCCTCTCTTTAGATTTTCGTGTAATTTCCATAACTGGCACCCTGTGTTGGGTACATTTATGAAGCTGTGTTTTGAGCTTCCTTGTGTACAGGTGTAGGTGACTGGAAAGATTAAGTGAGGGGTTTATCTAGAACATCTGCAACACTTAAAGGTTTCTGTGTGAGATTGTGGGCATTATTAAAGAACTAATAAGGAGTAAAGGGAGAAGGTGTGTTGTGTGGTGTTTTTTTTTAATAAGACAGACATGTCATGGAAAAGTACAACAAGCATGACAATCTGGTTATCAGTTCAACGGTGAATCAGCTCCAAGCTATCGCTGATTGCACCTATTGGAAAAACAAAGGCTGCTTTAGAAACTTTCAGTCACTGTCTCACTCGTTGTCTCCCTGATCTTATTCCCATTTAGAAGATGAGATTATAGGCACAGGGCTCTTTCTCAAATCCAGACCACTTTTGCTGGGGGCAATAAGAACAGACCAAGGTGTGAGCTCTTCTAAAAACAGCCTGTCCAAGCCAGGGAGGAAGGAAAGTGATGTTTGTTATGCTCCCTAAAAACGTGATTTATAATCCTGATCAAGGCTTTTAACGTAAAACTACGTTTTAAAATGTAGAATACACTGTGATGTGTGCACAAAACCTTACTGCTCCGCTGGTACAGGACTTTGAAAATGTTGCAAATGTTGTGTGAATGCTCGCTTTTGTGGTGCTTAAATTAAACTTATTGATCAGTCATCTGGCGAGTGTCAGCGTGTTAATGAAGGCAGCCCGCAGCAATGTGGGCTGTAGGAGAAAGCAAGCGTTCATCTTAGGCAGAACGTGTAATTGGGTTTGGCAGATGGAGCTTTGAGACTTGTGAATCCAGTGATAAACTGGATTAATTTTCCCTTTAAAGAAAGCAGCTAATGTGGCTGAAAAGGAGCTTTCAACTCTTATCGATTCATGCAGAGATCTACATAGGCGAGGAGAGCTTAATCTTTTGCAAGACTCCACCTGTCTTAAAATTCTAGGTGTTTTATACACCTTTCATAGAAGTGCTTGGGAAGTACTGATTAAATATCAGAAGCTCAGGAGCTAAGGGATGGTTATACTAACAACTCAGAGGCAGATCTGAGAAGGGGAGCCGGAACAGAATGAATTTTCTAAAACCAGAGTGGCTCCTGAAGAGCACAGAAAAAGCTGAGGAAGTGTCATGTTGGATGTAATTTTTTCTGTAGGTGTTTGGGTGAGGGTTTTTTTTCCACTTAAAGGTAAAGGCAAGGTTAAATTTCCTCTATTGAAGTAAAAGTATAGGAATAAATTTAGCCTTTAGAGCTTCTTATGCTCTTGCCAGTAATCTTGCTGTGTAATCACAGGATTGTGTGTTCCATCACACATATGATTTCTTAGTGCTGACAAATCTCACAATTTTCAACAGTTTCACAATAATTGGCCTAAGAAGCAAGATATTTCATCTCACTTTATCTCACAGGGAGAAAAAAAAAATAAATTGCTTCTAGGCTTTCTTCTTGCACAACAAAACTTAGGAACAACGCAACAACTGCACTCTGAAGGTTCATACACAAAAGGCAACTGGCATTTGTGCCCCAGAAATTCCCATGGAAACTTGATTGGAAATATTTTTGTTTGGTGTCATAGCAGACCTGGGGGAGTCCCTGACCTAAATGCTCACCATTTTCTATATCTCTGATCTCTTGGGTCAGTTTTAATTGACTTTGAATTTACCATGGTGAGTCCATGTGTTACCAAAAGCTGGAGATGGGCAAAGCCAAGAATCAGACCCTGAAATAGAAAGAAACTCGAAAAGAAAGCGCGAATTTCACAGTGACTAACTCGTGCTGGTTGAACATCATGTTCTTCTGCGGTGCATCGTCTCCTGGTCCGGGTTTTAGGGACTAACATTTAAGAGGCTCTGCTACCCTCTAGTGGTTTAGCTTAGCGATTTCGTTGCGTTCTTTTTTTTTTTTTTTTTTTTTTAT